GACGTACGGCCGAACGGCAAGACAATGGGCTCTTGTCTCTGTTTTCTCTGTCCTCGCTACTCCACCTCTATCTTTTTCTCTTGTTCATATTAAATGGAGATTTTCTCTTCTTGTTTTACTGCACAATTTCTTCGATAGCGACCAAACAAAAGATCCGAGGTCGACCCATGAACAGGATTTTTGAGGATCGATAAAATGTTCGTTTTATTCCTTTTGAGAGACAAACAATTTGCACATTTTGCGAATGCAAAAAAGAATTACAATCTCACGGCTACGGCTATCAGGCGCTAAAAGCTCATCGCGTGTCAAGTGGATAACATGTGCGAAAACCAGACTAGTCTGTTTGCTATATCTGTTACTATTTAACATTTTTCTCATATTTCAACAGTTCATTTTTCCAATAAATTACCACTTTAAAAATTTTACCATTTAAATATTTTTGTTATTTTAGTTTGTTTTTTTACAAGTTTTTTCGAGTAACATAAAAAATAATTAAAAAATATAATATTAATTAAATAAAATGTTGATTAATTTTTACAGAATAAGAATTGTCTCCATATCAATAAATATTCAGTAACTAAATAGAAAATTTGAGAGAAAAGAAATTTAAGAGTAAAGAAATAATAATAGAACGTTATAATATTAATATACTTTTTATTATGGAAAAATTATATTCTATATGATGGGAAATCATGATAAATTACGACAGCTGCCAATTATGGGGTGTTTTCTCAGATTAAGCTCGATCTACGCTTTCCAGGAACCGACTTTCTCATGACATGATCCGAAGGCGATTCTCGGAGCGAGAGTAGCCCGGTCAAGCCGGTTCGCCAATTTTGGATCAAAAGACTCTATCCTGCGTGAAGTGTCGCCTTAACGGTAGACCGTAAAATTAAGGTCAATCTCCAGTCGCAAGTATCATAAAACATCGAATATTTGTCGCGAAACGTTATACAATATTATGATAAAAAGCGGCAAGAAGAAATATCTTTTACTTCAAAAGTGACATAAAAAATTAAGTTTCCCAGAAAAAGAGAAAAAACTATTTTTAATTTAACAGAAAACTATTGATTAATCAAGTAATATCGGTAAACAGAACATATTTACAATACGATCAATTTTTAACATTTTCATCTTACAGCCACTAAAAAAACCATTCTTTTGTGACAATTTACATGTTTTTTTCTTAATTACTCTTTCTAAATTGCGATTTTTTATATAATTTTTTAAATATATAATATGTATATATGATATA